GATGTCGAAGTCTCTCTTTGCTTCCTCCTCTTCTTCTCTGTTTCCAAAATACGTAAGCCTTTTAATGTTTCTGAGATAGAATGCCATTTAGTATGAGAGTTGACAATATACAATTGAGTCCTCAATCTATACTGTTCTTAGTATATAAAGTCTGCAGCCTTGGATGTAGAGAGAAGAACCCAAAATGGGATGTCAAAATAGAGGGCTTGTGGAACATCATCTTTCAGTCCAGCCCCTGGAGAGCATGATGTTTGCCACTATTTTCTCTCTCTTCCAGTGGGGGAGTGCTACTCCTGGTGGTATTCCCGATGTGAAAACTTAAGGGTTTAGTGATCTGGCACTTCTTTTCATTGGCATGTTGGCTTGATGTCTTGCCTGTCAGTGGATTCCTTGTCATGAGCCGGTTGTTTTAATAGGAAAAAACACCCAACTTCTTTGAAAGTTATCAATTTACCAGAGTGGTTGTACATGACTGTTATCCCAGTGACTCAGGAGACTGAGGCAGGAGAATTGCAAGTTTGAGCCTCAGCTTTAGTCTCAGCTTCAGTAGTGTGATCCTGACTCAAAATAAAAAGATAAAAAGGACTGGGGAGGTGGCTCAGTGGTAAAGCAACCCTGGCTTCAATCCCTAGTACCAAAAAATAATTTATTTTAAATGAAAGATTCTATTTTATGTATATAACCACAAGTTTATAGAACTGGCTGACATAGAATTTTATATTTAGCATTTTATCTCTCTCTCAAACATTTCTAGTCCTTTCTATAATTTTTGTCACAAACTGCTACTCAACAAGGACATAAGGAAATCAAAGCAGATGGGGAGCCAAGATAGAGCTGAGTGCCCACAGGGCCCATGTCGGACCAGGCCTGTGTCAGACAGGCCATGTCTGACATCTGGACAAGAAGTTCACCTGAGGACCAAGAGAATACTACGGAGGAGAATTCACCCCAAAGAGCTCCAGATAAATCTGGAAGAATGAGGAAAACAGGGTATTTGATGTGAGAGAATCCACTGCTGACACATGTATAGAACATTCTGGAGGTTTAGCAAGGCTTGTATCTTGACTGCACCCGAGACTTCACCTTGTATGGTAGTTGATGATATGACATCATACAAAATTTACTGTATTTTGGATTATTATAATTATTAAATATGAGGAATCTAATTTAAGATGTTAGCAATAGAAACTATGGAATTTTACTTTTTCTCATGGAATCTGAAAATCCTATCCCTTATTTTATTTGTGGAGCTGAGTAAAAAAAAGAATGAAAAATTTTCCTTGGATTTTGGAATCAAGTAAATTGGAAGCAACAGTTTCAAATGAGCAGGAAACTGCAACTTGGTTGAAAAATTTTTTTAAGGAAGGAGAAGTTTGAGGCTCTTAAGATTCTCTAATTCATAAAGAAACACTGAAGCTTTCTAGTTTGGAGGTTTAAGAGTTTACTTTCTTCCCAAAGCAATATCATCTACTTTCATGGGGATAAAATAACTACAAGCAYTCAATAGTTCCAAATGGAGTTTAATGCAAAGAACAGATTCAGGTTTTTCCTTTCAAATATGAATTTTTACATCTAAACATGTAACAAATCATAGTTATTTTTTCTTCCTGGAAAGTCCCAGAAACCCAAAGCGATGATAAATAAAGGATGGGCCTGGCTCAGAATTGCTCTCATAAATAGGAAGCAATGACTCAACTCTCAGGGAGACGAGTTACTAAAGATGCTATTGGTCACAGTGATTTATATAGTAAACTGGGTTGCAGATGATCTACCTGCCATGTTCACCACACAGTGTCTGTCGGAATCAATGTCACTTAGCATATGGAATATGTTGTCAGGAAACTAAATTATCATGCATATGATAATTGGAAGAATATCATGCATTTTGTATATGAAGAATTACAAAAGGCAGGTATCTGGTATGGTCAAGTAGTGATGTGAATTTATATCTCTCTCATACACTTGGTCTTTAAATTATTGGACTTTAAAATTTGAAGTTATATTTCCACATTGGTTCCCAGTACTCTTTCAGTACCTCCAAGTAGTATTTGAAATTCATTAGCAGAATAAGGAATAGTATGTAGAAATGCTGGATTCTTCAATATTTGGTCTGCATATGGCTCATACATGAGGAGTCTAGAGACAGCTCAGCTGTCTTTATAGACTCCAGTCATAGGAGTAAGACAGACAACTAGTGGATTGTCCTTTTGAGTAAACTTCTTCAGAAGACAAGTTTAAGTGATAGTCCAGGTGTTCTTCAAATCAGGGCAAAATGTTTCATTTGATCAGGGCAAATGTGAATGGCCCCAAATAGTCAAATTTACATCAATGATGCTTCTTTTTCAGCTCCTTATGTTCTTTGTACTTTGTGTTTGCCTTCTCTTTAGAGACACTTATCTATGGATATGCCTCCTAGGAATCCAATGAGCTTCACTTTGACCCCATAAATACATAATCATTTGTCAATAGTCAATAAAATGTTTTAAATGTGATAACGATACTGCCAATTATCAAATTGTCAGCTTAACTCTAAGTTTTATTTGATTTAGGATATAAACTTTTATTACTCATATAAACTGAGTGTTTAGTAAGTAGTAGACTGATTCATTTAGACTGGGGTCAGTCCTAGGAATTAACATGTTTTCAAAGCTTTCCAGTTGACTTTATTGTGCACCCAATATTGAAATTCACTGAATTAGAGATCTGTGGTTTTGTGGTGGTGATTTTTTCCAAAGACCCTGGCTTTGAGGTGGGAGCAGAAATATTAATGTCCTCTGAATTTGAGAGTGCTTTCTGCCCTTGCTCTTATTTTAGAGTGACTTCTGTTGGTATTCTGCCCAGCTCTAACTTTTTAAGGATATTATGAATAATTTTAACAACACAATAAAGGATTTTTTAAAAATTCCAATGCAAATTAAATTTTACAGATGAAAATGATTATGCCTACAGTTTATCTGCTTCCAAATCAGAATGTATTATTAGTTTTATGAGTCACCTTTATTGTATAATTCTCATTTTGACTTATATTAGTTGGCATAGTTTGGACTATAGCCACTTTCAGAATATTGTTATATTGTTTTAATGTAAAGAAAAGGAAAATTCAATGCCTCTGTGTCTAGCAGCTCATCTGGAGCATAATGAAAGTATCTGTTTTCAATAGATTATGTGTTTCTAGCTACATTCTAGGTTTTCAGTAGAAATAATCCCATGTATTATAGTTCCTATCATAATGTTGAAAAGACTTACAGAAAAAAAWATATATATATATAACAGATAAAAATTGTACCAAGCCCTATTTTATAATATCAGAATATCAAAGATACCTATTATATGGTGTGAAGTGAGTGAAAGTAACCKCAAAGCCTAAAATAAGCTTGCAACTAGCTTAGCTGCTTGAAATCCACTGGGGAAAAGGATATAGACACTGAAACATACTAAATCAAGTTCAACATCTGCCTAGTTAAATCACCTTTTTAAACTCCAGGGAAGGCACGAAACATAGCCAACAAAACTTGCCTTTATTTTATAACCCTTGGTCTCACAGATAAGGGAGAGATAATTTGGCCATAGAAGAAAAAAATAAGGAAAAAAATAAGGAAAAAAATAATAAATGTGTAGTTGAAAATGGCCTGTAGAAAAGTAGCTTCCACATAGTAGACTCCTGATGCACATTGGTTGAATGAACGAATGAAATGCAAGAAATACACTGGCAAATAGTTTGGACTGAAGCAGAGATTTATGTCTGAGAATTATCTGTTGCTGTTATAAATCCAGTATTAAATTACTTATGTGCTTTTTTTAGGATTTTTTTTCACCACTGATATAGTAACTGCCAACCAGGAGAAGGCCAAAGGAACTTACCATGAAAACAGATGAAGGTGTTTTGTCCTGCTTGCTTCATTCCCCATAGTCCATTATAACTCCTGTGTTCTTACAAAGGGTGACCTAAAATGCTCAAAGAAGCCTGACTTTTCAAAGCTCATCTGGATTTTGTTTGAACTTCTAAGAACTCCATCATCATTAGAAAAGTAACCTACTTAGGCTAATTTAAGAAATTTCTCTGTTGTCTTCAACTTGGCGTTCGACTACGCCCTCCCTTCCATCCCAATCCATCTTATTAATGGAATAGGTTGACAGTGTTCTAGTGCTTTTGATTAACTGCTGCTTAGAAATTTTACTTTAGATTCTTCTTTATACCCACCCAAAGATCACCCACTCACTATAAGGTTTTAAAGTGGTTCTGATATTTGATTTTATAAACAGCTTAATCGATGTTTAATTTCCATAACATAAAATTCACCCATTTAAAGGGGACAGACAGTTAATTTCCATCAATTTAGGTGGCCACACAACCATTGTCACAATCCATTTGGGCCATCCTTAGCCTCAGGCAACCACTGATCTGTTATCTGTAGTTATAATTTTCTGTCCTGTTTTGTAGAGCTGTCATGTGAATGGAATCAGAATATCTCTGATACACTTATTTTTTAACTAAAAAAACTAAGTTCATCTTATTAAGATGGCCAAAGACCAACTAAATTAAGTGGACCTTATATTTCACTATAAATGATGAAGGAGTAATTAGAATTTTCTTATTTGGGTGTGAAGACTAATTTATTGTGGGTTTCATTTACTTTACTGAATTGCAACTTCTTTTCTTTCTGCTAGATATCTTGTTCAGTTTTGAGCTATGCTTTACCTGTTACCTCTTCAAAATATATGGGTTAACATTCTTTCCAACTTCAGGCTTTTCTCTAAAATCTATGTTATTATGACACATTTTTCCAGAACGACAAGTACTTATGTGTGTGTAAAGGCAAAGAAAAGAGAGACTTCCAAAATTTGTGGATAGATGAATGGATGTATGATGAATTTATGACTTCATATATTTAGGCCTCAGGAAGTTTGTTTAAAGCATTAGTTCTCAGGGTGTAGAGAACTAATAAATGGCATATATGTTTGGATTAGAATTTCATTTCTTGTGTGTTTTCATTTCACAGAAGAAATATGAAACATGTTCTAGCAAGGAATAAAGCATTACAGTGGACCAAATCCTACATTTTGCCAGAGTTTCCCTATGATGTCAAATGCATGTTAGCAGAGCAGAAATGTCCAGATCACAGCATGAGGATAAGGATCATTGAGTTTCTCCAGGCCGACATGACTAAGTATCTGGAAGGCTCACTGTAAGTGATAACAGGGAAAACTTGCTGGTTTGGGGGAGGGTCTGCCTTGGAGTAGTGTAGAACTCACTTGCAATGAGGTCTCTTCAGATTTTGAGTGACATACAGCATTTAAGTCTAACATGCCAACAATTGAATGTCTATTTTGTTCTATAGAAAGATTTGAAGAGGAGTCAGTGCAATTTAGACTCCTCTTGAATACGGACTGCTAGAAATAAAAGCTATCTCCCTGTTATGAACAGGTATCCCACCACACAGCAATACAATGATGTGGTCAACGCCCTGCTGCAGGCCCACCCCTTCCTGGACGAGGATGGCTGTGGCTTTGTAAGTAATGACATGGCACCATTAACCTGTTCATCTGAGTCCATCTTAAGATAATAGCCTGTATTGTCCACTTAGATTCTGATATTCTTTCCCCTTTGGTTCTCTCTTTCTGACTGTCCCTACTTCTTTCTTTCTTTTATTCTCTTCCTCCTCTCCTCTGTTACCTCCCTGTGATAACTTCTCTGTCTCTGCCTCACCTGTGTTTCTTTGTCTGCCCTTCATCATCTTTCTGTCCTTCTCTTAAAGCAGTCTGGGAGCTCCTATGTGACCCTCTAGGAAGGAGAGGAGATGACATGTGTCATGGCTGTCATCAACCAATTGTCTCTTGCCCTCTGATTAGAGCCAGTGGGGAAGTTGTCTGCTTGGAGGTCTTGCTTGCCTATCTCACCTGCCCTTTCACAACTCGAGTGTCTTGACACCCCAAGATATATGGGCAGCAGTTCTAAACTCTGACTGCACCTCAGGAGACCCAGAGATTTTTGATTTAATGGCTCTGAGGATGTGGCCCTGACATGAGTAATTTTTAAAGTCCCCCAAATTATTCTAATGTATATCCAGGGTTGAGAAYAGCTGCTCAGTACAAATCCAACTGTCTGGATCTGCCTATTTCTTGAATTTGAAAGACTGGGATCTATCTTTGTTGTACAACAGTATAAAAATACTTAGTACTAGTGGACTATACACTTAAAAATATTTAGACTATAATAAAAGGTTGAGTGTTTATGATATGCATTAGTGGTATATGATTTAATAAACAATCATAGGGAAATACAGTTCTGCATACATAAAAACCTACTACTATCCCTGTATTTCTATATGACATGTGTATATACAGTGGTAATCATAGCTAAGTAAGATATATGTCTTCCTGTATCTTACCATGTCTGGGTTGTCAGAAAGTACTTTTTTGTTGTTGTTGTTGTGCTTTCTTAAAGACATAGGGTAGGGTTTAAGCAATTAGTTTCAAATTGAACAAAAAAGATACATGCCAACATCATTTAAGGCCTTTGCTTGCTTGCTTGAATGTTTACTTTTCTTTCTCTCTCTATCCCCCTTCCTTCCTCTCCTCCCTCCATCTCTTTCTTCCTTCCTTTCATTTCATATTTTCAGAATGTGTTTCATTATAAATGAATAAAATAATAGATTTTCTGGAATGAGAAAAGGCCTTAAACATATTTTAGCAGCCATCTAGAAACTGTAAAATTGTAAAGCCAAGACTAGAATTCAGGAATCCTTGCTTCTAGGATTCCATCTTTTCTAAAATATGCTGCTACCTATAAAACACACTATAAAGTTACCAAAGTTTCTCTAAAATAAAAAAAAAATAATGCATCAAAACCTGGGGTCTCAACATTGTAGTCATTGCAATATGGTTGACAAAATCAAATCTCAGCATTCCTTTGACATTCAAGATACAGGAACTATATCTTGAATTAGTATCTATATCAGTGCTACTGTGTATAGAAATACAGTCAGCCCTCCACGTTCAGATTTCACCTCCTGGGATTCAACAAACCTTGAATACTGTGCTTTGTAATTAGGCTTATGATGGTTGTATCTGTACCGAACAGGTGCAAACTTTTTCTCTTGTCATTATTCCCTGAACAATACAATAAAACAATTGTTTACGTGGCATTTATAGTGGAACAGGTATTACAAGTAATGCAGAGATGATTTAAAGTAGTGGAGGATGTGTGTAGGTTATATGAAAATACTTATGTCATTTTATATGAGACTTGATTACCTATAGATTTTGGTGTCTGCCACAGGCTACTGAACCAATCTTCTGTGGATACCAAGAGATGACTATAGTTGAATTTTTAAAATAATTTAAATTTTCTATTTGAATAAATTATACATTTACCTAGTTCAAAATTCAAAAGTTTCAAAAAGATAAAATAGTCCCTACCCCAGTTTTCCAGCCACTTAGCAATCCTATCCAGAAGGAACCAATGTTATTAAAGATTCCTTCCAGAGAATCTTTGCACATATATAAGCAAATCCATATCTCTCCAATTACATTTTGACCTTTACTTTTATGGTTATCAAAGTGAGACATGCACAGAGTAATAAACAGTGCTTACTTTGCTCTGAAGTGCATTTTACTCACATCTGTTCCCAGTGGCATTAACTAAAGATGGTTAACTGAGAAAGAGACAAGGAAAATTGCTTAGCAGGTTGTGGCCACTATTTTCACACTTAGAAGTATAGAAATACAGAAGTGAATACTGGTATATGGATGGGTGCTTACTCAAATTCTCCCCACAAGTGTTACATTGCAAAGTATAGAAAAATTTTAAGAACGTTTGTGTGGAGGGGGTGGGGAGAAAGCAGGCACTTGATTACTTTTAGGGCTAATTTTATTTTCAACTTTTCATTTTGAAAAATTTCATATCTGCACATAATTAGAATGCTGTGGTGATACCATATACCCTTCAACTAAATCAAGGTTTCTCAGCCTTCACACTATTAATGCTTAGTGCTGGATAATTTTTGTGGTGGGAGTTGTCATCTGGCCCTGTGCATTTTAGCATATTTAATGGCATCCCTGGGCTCAATCCATAGTACTGGGGGAAAAAAATAAGAAAAACTGATCTCGGTTCATTAGCTATTAACATTTTGCCACACTTTCGATTCTTCTCTCATGTTTGTTTTAGATGAGCATTTAAAAGCAAGTTACAGATGTGATTTCTAAATACTTTAGTGTATATCTTAAAAGTATAAGAACAATTCTCTACATAACCACTATGCAATTTGCACCTAAGAAAATTAAAATAATTGTGTAATATCACATGTAATCTGTATTGCTATTTCTCTAATTATTCAAAAATATTTTTTAAAGTAGATTATTTTTTGCTATAAAACCTAATCATGGATTATGCATTGCATATGGCTATTATACTTATTTAATTTTGCCTAGGACGGTCTTTCTAACCATTTTTGTCTTTACTGACATTTACTCTTTGGTCAAATGTAGTCCACTTGTTGTGTCAGATGGTCTACATTCTGTGTTTGTCCAAATGTTTTCTAATGATGATATTTTGGATTTAAAATACTGAACAAAGATCTGCTTTGATGTTGTGGTTTGCTTCATGTGTCACAACAGGCCCATAATTTCAGGACTTCTTTTAAAAAAAAAATTTCAGAGTGATTAGGAGAACTGTGTCAATGTAGAACTTTCATGTCCTCTAGTTGGAAAAGTGTAGAGAAAAGGGACGATTATGCTATACCACAAATATTTTCTACTGAGTCTGTCCACCAAAGGTATCTATGCTCAGTAAATATCATTGATTGAATACTCATTAATTGTACTCAATTGGTTCTTTTTCTCTTCTTACCAATTAATAAGGAGAGATGGGAGAAGCTAGGAAAAAGAAGCTGGCAATTCAACAATGTCCTAGCAGTTGATTGCAATAATACCTTCTGCCAGGTTTAGCAGGTGTAGAGGCCCTTCAGAGCTGTAGGAAGTATGAGAAACAAATGTATTTGTTCTAGTTTATATTTCAGGGCTAAGAGAAATATAAGCCATCTATTATTTCTCTGCTATTGTATGTCAGCCACAGCAGAGACCACAGATCTGTGGGAGGTAATAAACATCTCTGATGCACATGTGCCCAGGAACCCAATCTGCACTGAAGCCAGCCCCAACTTCAGCCTGCAGCTCTCCTGGCCAGTYTGTCCCAGGGTTTTATGATCAGCAGTTTATAAATACCTTCAATGAGTAGCTATACACTTGATTCTCTTAAAACCCCAGTACAGGGGCTGGGGGTGTGGCTCAGTGGTAGAGCATTTGCCTAGCACATGTGAGGCACTGGGTTCAATCCTCAGCACTAAATAAATAAATAATAAATATATTGTGTCCATCTACAACTAAAAATATTTTTTAAAAACCCAGTACAGTTGAGGACAGCTCTTATTGTTCYATATTTTAGTCAAAGAACAAAAGCTACAGGGGTTTAATTGTTGAAGGTCATTTGTATTAGAGCTAATACTCAATCCTGGGTCTTCCCAACATAGGTCACAGTGCTTTCTGAAGGGCAGAGAATACTCTTATTGGAACTTGAGCCATAAAACCAGGAATGGCAAGATCCAAAAGCCAAATACAAGTCTAATGTTATCTCAATGACATCCCCATTTGCTCCTAAGGAAATAGTTTTTTCTCTGATTCTATTTCCTTAGCTATAATTAAAGGATTATAATTTGTATTGCAATGTCACAAGACTATTGTTAGGATAAATCAAAGAATAGGTACATCACTTCTTTTACTGTGATATAAAAATAATTTCAAGCTCAAGAATCACAGGCGAATATTTTATTGTTTATATGGAATTATTCTAAGCTCCTAGGATTAACTGGCTTGCTTTGTTATTTTATGCAGTTTTTATGGAAACGAGCCCTCAAAGATCGTTTTAAATATGTCCGAAGACCCATAGAAGATGATGAACAAGTAATAAAAAATAAGTGCAAATTTGGACACCGAAGAGGCCAGACAAGGAAATCTCTTGCTGATATAAGATTTAATGAAATTAAAATTGTCCAGATAAAAGTAAGATTGAATCCTTAAATGTTCTGACAACTTTGACTCATTGGTTGATTAAGGAATAATAAGAAAAAATTAGCATTTAAAATCATTGCAACAAAATTAGATAACTTTTAAAATTTGAGGTGTGGTCAGGAACCTATTAAAAACAATGGTTTGTGTGGTTAAGAATGTAAGTCATATTTCTAAAAGAGAAGTGTCAAAAACAGTTTTTAGCAAGAATACTATTGAAGATCTCATAGTCATTTTGTTACAGCCTTCAAAGAATATGAACTAGCCCTTGAGTTCTGGGACCTGAAATGATTTCCCACCCTATTCTTCCTTAACACACTGCATCTTCTTGACAACCTTACTGCATCAGCAAGTTTTAATACTCAAGCATTGTAGAGGTCAGGTGGTCTTGAGTCTCAGGATCTAGGGAGGCAATGGGTCATATGCGTTGGCACAGAAATTCATGCTGGCCTTCCCCTTCCTGCTGGTCCAGAATCTTCTCTTTTGTTGATACATCCATCATCTTTGAACCAGTTTTTACACTCTGTTCCTTCTTAAAACACCTAAGGAGCTGTAGACTTTCCAGTTTGCCCCTTCTAGTCCTCCAGATGAGCCTAAATCCTAGGATGAATCCTGCTGAGACCCATGTAGGGGTCTTTGCTTCAAAAAGAACAAGGAATTGAATATATCAGGGTTAGATGTTAAGTTGCAATAGAATTTAGTTTGTACCTTCCTGTCTGCTGAGCTAAAAATAGAAATTAGCCTTTTTTCAGATYTAGAGAGACAACATTTTTCCTGGCAAACAAATACAATTGGAAGGATTTACTTTCCCTCCTTTAAAGATGGAGCTGCAAATTGCTGATTCTTTCATGTTGTAGCCTGTTTATGATCTCATGTTCTACAAAGCCAAAAACATTAAAGGATGGAAAATAATCTATACTGAAATATTACAGAAACCATGTATTTTGTACCCTCCCTGGTKATTAAAGCAAATTTATAAGCACCGAGAATAGTGGGAGTGAGAGACTCCCATACTTTGAATTTACCTCACGGAATTGTATTTTCTGGTACTAGGAATGGAACCTAGGGCCTTGGGCATATTAGGCAAGTACTCCATCACTAAGTCACATCTCCAACCTTTTTTTATTTTGAGACAGGATCTCCTTAAATTACTCAGGCTGGCCACCAGCTTGTAATTTTCCTGCCTCGGCCTCCCAAGTAGGGGAAGGATTGGCCTGAGGCAGGGTGCCTGGTTTACTCATGGAATTCTATCCTTCAGTCTGATTGCTTAAATTTCTTTCAATCTCCATTTTGACCTTCTTCTGATGGCTCCTTTTTAATGTCTGAAGATTTCTGAAGATAAAAGTTGTTTAGATTAAGACATCCTTGGGCAACTCTTACATCTTTTAAAATTCCTTGTCTGTGCACAATTTTTCCAGAGGAAAAAAATTTCATGTGCTACGGAGATGAAAAAATGTTGACGCAACCAGGAAGCAGTGGTCTGTGTGTCTGTGCCTTCAAAGGCAGGGAAGTGGGTTGGGCTAGCTGGAAGATCTTGAGAAGGGATACGGAAGGAAAAGAGATTTTAATTAGTTTTTGTTGTGGTGGTGGTAGATGTTCTGTTTCTGCTATTGTTTGCCCTTTTGGTGGAGGATGAAGAAAATAGATGTCACAGTGAAGAAAGGTAGGGATTTTAGTTTTGTGATGTGGGCTTCCATAGATAACCCAAAATATTGCAGTACTTGTCTGGCTCTGAGCCCCACTTTTTTTTTTTGTCCCCAACCCTCTACCTTCCAGAATCTCTTGTGAGTTTAGCTCTGCTTTTTATTTGGCTACAAAGCCCAGATCATCTGAAATGCCAGAGCAACATCTGTGAGTCAGTGTGGCTGGTTCCTCTTATCCCACTGCTAAAAACAATTTCACAATATTACACAGGTGGCTAGACTTGTCACAGTTCCACAAAATGCTGGTTATTTTTCAGTGCTTAAAAATGCCTTTCTAAACTTGGTGCAGAGTTGCACACCCGTAATCCTAGTTACTCTGGAGGCTAAAGGGGGATAGCAAGTTTGAGGCCAGCTTCAGCAACTTATTGGGACCCTGTCCCAGAATTAAAAATAAAAGAATCTGAGAATATAGCTCAGTGGCAGAAAATCCCTGGGTACAATCCTCAGTAACCACCCCCCCCAACACTCATGCACATGCAGAGCCTTTCCATTCCCAGACCCCTGTTGCTGCTCGTATGCTTGTGCAATCAGTGCAGAACTGTACCATCACTTCTTATGCAATGACTTTTAGTGTAAAAGGAAACAAACTGAAACACACACACACACACACACACACACACACACAAATAGCACAGAGCAATGAAAATATTCCATGAGTGAGCGAACAGGTACAAATGAATTAGGTCCAAATAATATGTAGCCCTGTGAATTGATAAATCTGTTTCCTTTTCTAAATTGCCTTTTATCATCCACATCTTTGTATATTTATAAAGAGATATATTTCAGTTCTCAAAACAATAGATCTAATTTCAGTAATTTTGTAAGCTGATGACTTTATCTTGTTTAAATGATGAAAACATTGGTTTCAAAACCTTACAGGAATTGTGTGGAGCTGATCATCAATATACTAGATTCCTTTATATAGTAGTAAATTTTGTAAGACATCTCAGGTTAATTAAAGTTAAGTGAATCAAACTCCTCACTTCATGGCACATTATCACTGTCCTCTGTTAGGATTTTCTCTTGCTTTATCTATTCATTTTTATCCCCATTCTTATCTGCCTTCCGCCYGCTCCACCTCTGCTGTGAACAACCATTCTAAACATTTCATATGKGTCTGGTTCTTTGCCAGTGCTCTAAAAGATGTACTGTCACTTGGGTTTGTATACATTTGATTTAATGTGAATGGTRTCCTATCACTTATCTATTTCACTTTTTTAAAAACCAATACTCTATCTAAGATTCACTCATGTTGTTCTGTAAGTCTCTAGTTCATTGATTCTAAGCAATATGAAGTACTCCTGGTATCAAGTTCTGTTCCTCCCCAGTACAAACTGCACACCAGAGAATACCATTATATTTATCTGGTTATGGAGCGATGAGTTATCACTTTGGACTATACATCCGGAAATGAACTGATAGGACACAAGGTGTGCATGGACTTAATGTGACCAGTTACCCTCCAGAATGCCTTCCTCTCACAGCAGCGCATACCCCTATATTTCCACAAACCCTTGGCATTTTCTGACCTACAAAATTTTGTCAAGACTAATAGGTATAAAGTATAATCTCATTCTTGTGATTTGCATTTCCCTGGATTACTAATGAACCAGCATTTCTTCACATATGTGTTAGCCTTTTGAATTTGTCATAGAAAATTATCTCTTTAAGTCTATTGCCCACTTTCTAATGGGTTGGCATCTTTTTCTTGTTAATACGAGAAGAAGGAAGCAGTCTTTGTAAGAAGCAGTCTTTCCCATGCCCTAAGCCACAAGGATGCTCTCCTACTCTTAAGTGTATGATTTTAGTTTCCATGTTCAGATATTTAATTCATCTGGAATCTATCTTTATATTAAATAGGGATCTCTACATAGTGAACTGCTTTCTGTACACCAATAACTAAACAATCCATCATTTTCTCATGGGTTTATGGTATCCCTTTATTATTTATTAATAGAGCTGGGTGTGTCCTGGCAATTCCCTTATTCCATTGGTCTGTCGGTCTCTTCTTATGCCACTCCACTTTGCATTTTACTCTTTTATGTTTATTACTTAGTATCACTCAGGGTGGTCTGGATTATCATGGAGGGCATGCTGCATCAGGGTAGCCCGTCAGTGGAGAGCATTCTGGGTAGGCCATTCTCATTTTCAGAATAAGGGGAAAGACAACGGGCCATCTTCTCATGAACAAGTACCCAGGACTTCTTTGTAGTATCTTTCTTCTCACAGAAGAAATAGCCCGGGCTAGGGGTGCYACACATAGGTGGACCAAAAGAAGGTTTTGAGCATCTGCCAGTGTGAGAAGCAGCAGGACATGTTCTGTCTTACTCTTGTGGAGGATTGGCTGTGATGAGATGGAGAGGGCCTGATGGAAGGATTCCACTCCTTTTGTCCTGACTCTGGAATAGGAGATGTCCCCCTAGGACGGTGATTTCTGATATGCATGGGGCACCAGAACTTGGAGTGTGAACATTATTCTCAGCTTGATGCTCCTGATTTCTTGGTCTTGGTTCCTCCTTCACCCAGTGGATTCATTTAACCTTTCTCTCAAGTCTTTACCAAATGCCACATTGAAGCATAAACATGTAGACATACTTTTTGAAATGTTTCAATTTTTCCTTAATATCTTTATTTTTTTTTTTGACTAATGTATGCATGTTCTTTTCTTAGTCACAAAAATCCCTTTCAGCCAGTAGCACTCTCAATCTATTATCATAAACTTTTTTTGTTCTCGGGRAATAAGTTGAATTTGACAATAGCCAGAGGTCTTTCAAAAATTCCCTAAAACACAATGGATTTTATTTTTTAGATACCCAGCTMTTCAAATTCATGGTTGAGCTGTTCATCTCTTTTGAAAATATTCTGTCTTTATGGGGTAAATTCACTCTAAATTGGATGCCAGGTGAAAAATGTGTTCCTGAGCAGTACAGGAAGGACTTTGAAGTTTCAGCTACARATTTGTTTCTTTTTTTCTATCTTATCTTTCTTTCCTTTTTTTATTTTTTCAGTGTTAGAAATTAAACCTAGGGCCTTGTGCTTGCTAGGCAAATGCTCTACTACTGKGCCCTACTTCCAGCCCCTTCTGTTTTTTTTTTTTTTCTTTCTTCTAACTCTGTGGAATTGTCTCAGTTTGGATGCTTTTAATTGTTATCTTGTTGGTTTATGACCAATTATTTGCTGATGATGTTTAGAAAGTACATTTCCCAAATCTTACGGACAGGACCTTTATTTGCATAGGTTATTTTATCTTTGTTAGTTTAATCTACATTTGATTTCTTTTTTAAAAATCAG